CCTCCAGGTCTGGGATTCGAATCATGGATGGCCATGTGGGAGTGTCCAGCACCTTAACCACCACAACACCTGCTGGTCCCATGGAGAGGTTTTTCCTATAGGGCACGTGCACTCACCAGAAAGACAGAGACAGACAGAGAGAAAACGAAAAATCACCCCCCAGGGGGGAATGGCCATGCAGCAATCCCTTCTCCTCCATTCTCCTCTCAGGACTTTGGGCATGCAAGTACACGCGCCCGGCGTGAGTTTAAGCCACCGGATCTGGGACTTTAAGATAAGGTAATTTAAGACGTGATTCATTATTTTGCTAATACAGAATACTCCTTTAAAGCAACAGTGTCTTCAATTATAAATTCAGAAACATTGCATAAAAGAATCTATGATAATACTGAAAGCTCATTCATTTCAGATACTTACTCACTACAGCTGTCTTTGATCTCCTTACTATGCTTACAGTAATAATCAATTTCCTCATCTGTTGTATTTATACTTTCATGTATCTTACAAATAGCTGCTTTGTTTTCTTTAATATCTTCAAAGCATTCTGGAAAGAGGAAATATTTTCTTGAAGCAGACATCATAAATGCAAAATGAACAAATACAGTCGTAAAAAGGGGTATGGCAACCTACCTTCAAGGAAGAGAGCCAGAAAATGGAAAGGAAGTGAAAGTTGAGATGAGAAGGTCCCTATACTATAAAGCAGAGAACCAGAGCCAGACTTGATAGCAGATCCAGAAGCTATGAAGGATTTGTATTTGGAAATGAAGAGAAATATCCTTTGTTTCTCATCTTTAACATAAGATATGTAGGTTATGTGATATCTAAGTTGAATTACATCTTATAATGCTATTAATTCGTGTAAACATTTATGATGCTAACCTAAGACGTGTTTGACAAATGCAAAAACTGTATTCAATTCCAAATAAATTATTAAATACACCTTCAGCTCATTTGTTTCTGTTACTAGTGATTAAGGTTTAAAATATTAACATAAAATATTAACACTGTATTGTTTCTGACTACAGAAACAAACTCTTATCTTTTCAAAACTGCTAAGAATACGCTAACTGCTGGTTCTCAAGAAATTAAGTTTTTTAAATAGCTTATATGCCGGATCTTAAAATACTACATTTATGTAATTTGTTTTTTTCACTCATAGTGTTTTTCAGAATTATTTCAGAAAATGTGGCATCTATTTATCTTGGTGCCTGATTTTTGAGATTCCTATATAGACAGAAAAAAAAATAACTTTCACTCAAGTATTTTAAATAATCTGTGCTGAGAAAAGAAACACCTTTTCAACTACACATAAGGTGACATTTCTGCTTAAATAACATAATTAAATGCTGAATACAGAAATGTATCATTGAAAAACTGTAATTAAGTCACAACTATGCCTATGATAAACATCTAAATTATTCATTAGTAATCAGAATTGCCACAGAAGTTATAATGCCAACTGCATGTTGCCCTAGACAGAGAAACTGAATATTATCTTGCATACCATAAAAAATTAAGACTAAGAGAGCTCTATCAGACAAATCTACTTACTATTAATTCTTTGAATCATATCTTCTTTAGTATTTATGTCTTGCTCATACTGGAAAACTAAAATAAATAATTCTTTTGTGACTTCATGGTTAAAATGTCAGACGATAATACAAGCAGATCTTATTTATTTTTATTTTATACCTACCAAATTCTAGTAAAAGTCTGTCCAAACTGACAAATAAGCTGTCATTCATCTTGGATACTATGTTAAAATGAAAACAAAAATTACAAGGAAGTATTTGAAGTAATATGCAACCAGCATATTTTCAGAGAATGCTTTTCAAACATGACAACGTAGCTTTTTTTCACAGAAAAATGTACATGAAGGAGGGGGCGCCTTTATCAGTGTTTACACGTGTTGCCACGATTAAGTCTTCGAATGTTCTGGGGTCCACAGACTCCCAGATTTCTCAAACCGATATCCGCTTAAAATCAACCTCTAATTGCGTCCCTTCTTGGGGTGTGTATGACCACAAGCAAGATTCCTGAAGGCAGTCCTCCACCACCCTCAAGGTGCGATTTTGCATTTAGGAATTCACCACCAAGAACCCTAACCGTGGCGGTTTTCACGGGAATGCCGCCGCATCACAAACTACGCCCGAGGCGGGGAGCGCATCTCCGGCTCCCACCTCCCCCCCCCCCCCAGCCGAGGCCCCCCTCAGGCGCGCCGCAGCCCTCGGCGACACCCCAGCCACGCGGCCGCGCCCACGGCTTCGGACCGCGCTGCGGGACGTGACGCGACGCCCCAGCCGCCCGACGAGGCGACGCGGACAGGCCCTCAGAACGCGGCCCGCGTCGTTCTTCCGCTCGGGGCCCGCGGCCCGCCCGCCCCCTGGCTCTCCCCACGGCCCCTCAGAGCCCCGGGCCCAGGGAACAACCGCCACGTGCCACTCCCTTTCCCACCCACCTACAGCCCTCTGGAACCAACGTCGTCGCCCTGGCTCCCGAGGGCCCCGCACTGCACTGAGCCCCGGCACGACGCGTGCCACGGCCAAGTCCAGTCGCCAACCGGCCGAAGCCCCGCCCCCCACCCCCTGGCGTCAGCCCCGAGAGACCCCGCGGAGCACGCCGCGGGATCAGCAGATCGCGCGCTCCGCGAGATCCGCCCTGCGCCGGCCTGGGCTTCCTCCCTCCGTGCGCGGGGACCGCGGCCCTGAAGACGCAGCAGCGGGGCCGGAGTCAGACCCACGGCCCTCGGAGTAGGCGCTGTCAGGAGCTCTCCTGTTCCCTTGAAAACAAGGGGTTTTTAGGACCGTTCATTTTCCTCGTAACGTAACAGTCCTAAACAGTGTTTTGGAGAACAACAGTAAAGTTGATATTAACTTGACGATGACAGAAAAAAAGAAACACTCGAATCAATGATCAAATTTTTGAATAAAGTGGGGGTCAGCAGGTGGTGTGGTAGTTAAGGGCGCTGGACCCCCACGTGGCCAACTGCTGTCTGAGTCCTGGACCTGGCTGCTTGCTTTGTCACTTTTCTCTCAAAAGCTCTCTCTCTCTCTCTCTTGTTCTCGCTCTGTCCCTCTCCGGTCAAATTAAAAAATAAGTAAATAAAGTTAAAATAATTTTTAAAAAAATTTTAGTAAGGCACTTTTCAAAACTTCAAAATCAAGCATAATTCAAATATGTTTTAGTTAAGCATTTTCACACTGACTCATTTCATTAGTTCAGTTTCAAGTACCACAACTTTTCTATCCAAAATGCTGTCTTTAGATACTTCGTGCTTATACTTTGTCTGCATAATCAAAATAAAGAAAAGATCATTTGTTCAGTCCCCCAAGTTGCCTCCTTCATATATTTTTCTAGTAGAAATGTTTTTAATCCTAAATTATCTCAATAATTACCTGTCACCAAAACCTAAGTTGTTTTACAGATCATTAAAATGAAAAAGAAACGTTCAGAAGTTTTTCTTGCTTAAGTACCTCAGATAAGATCTGAATAATCTATTTTAGCATATTGTGTTGTAATGTTGCTCACTAGTTGGTATTAATGACAGTTAAGTCATCAAAGTTAGTGTAACTTTTGTTCATGTAAAAATTCAGCAGATATATTTTTGTGTATGTGTGTAAATCTTTTAGCTCTAGTTTTTGTTTGTTTAGCTTGTTTCCTAAGAGAGACAGAGACATCCTTGACAGCATCCCCACTCCAGGATCTTCTCTCAGAGCCCTCAACCAGCCAGGATCAGGGGTAGATGCCCAAATATATCAAAAGCATGAACTGAAGCCTTCTCAAATGATCTCCAGCATCTAGCAGTAGCACTCCTTCCACCTGCAACACCATGTCTTTTCTTTTGTTTCCAGCTTTGGTAAGATATAACTAACAAAAATTATATAGCATATATTTTTTAAATGCAGCCTGTTATTTTAATATATGTATATATTATAAAATGACTATTGGAGCCAAGTTCATTTATTTAACATATCTATCACCTCCCCTAGTTATCATTTGTGTGGAAAGAACATTTAAGACATACTTTCTTAGCAAACTTCAAGTAAAAAATATAGTATTATTAGCTGTGCTGTACATTAGGTCTCCAGATCTTACTCATCCTATCCAACTGAAATTTTTTACCTTTTGACCATCTCCTCAATTCATTGTCTTCTCTCCCACTGCACCTGACAACAACCATTCTATCCTCTGCTTCTATGAGTTCAACTTTTTTTAGATTTCACATGTGAGATCATGCAATACCTTTCTATTGCCTGACTTAATCACTTAGCACAATGTCTTTTAGTTTTATCCATGTAGTCACAATAACAGAATGTCCTTTTTAAAGTTGAATAATATTCCATTGTATACATCAGGGTTCACCAATCCCCCAGCCTCTGACAGTGCTGGTCTGTGGCCTATTGAGACCCAACCACTGTAGGCTGTGCAGTGGGAGTGGGCAGTGGGCATCTGATGCCTGAACTCTGCCACCTTTCAGATCAGCAACAATATTAGGTTCTCATGGGAGCACAAACCCTATTGTTGTGTGATTGCATCATTGTATAATATATTGCAGTGTGGTAGTTTCTCTCCCACTGCACCTGACAACAACCATTCTATCCTCTGCTTCTATGAGTTCAACTTTTTTTAGATTTCACATGTGAGATCATGCAATACCTTTCTATTGCCTGACTTAATCACTTAGCACAATGTCTTTTAGTTTTATCCATGTAGTCACAATAACAGAATGTCCTTTTTAAAGTTGAATAATATTCCATTGTATACATCAGGGTTCACCAATCCCCCAGCCTCTGACAGTGCTGGTCTGTGGCCTATTGAGACCCAACCACTGTAGGCTGTGCAGTGGGAGTGGGCAGTGGGCATCTGATGCCTGAACTCTGCCACCTTTCAGATCAGCAACAATATTAGGTTCTCATGGGAGCACAAACCCTATTGTTGTGTGATTGCATCATTGTATAATATATTGCAGTGTGGTAGTGGTAGAAATGGGGTACATGGTGGATGTGGTGTCCTTAAGTCATCCTGGGACCAACCTCCCCATCCCTACCCTATCTGTAGAAAGACTGTCTTCCATAAGGCCAGTCCCTGTGCTGGCAAGGTTGGGGGCCACTAATATACATATAACATTTTAATTCATTCTCCCATCAGTAGACACTTAAGTTGTCTAACATTTCATATCTTAACTATTGTGAATAATGTTGTAATGAACATGGAAACACAGATCTCTCTTCAAAATACTGATTTCATATCTTTTGGATAATTCTCAAAAGTGGTATTGCAAGATCATATTCAATTCTGGATTGAATATGAATTCAGCATATTCTGAAATCTCTCTGCTGTTTTCCATAATGGGTATTAATTTATATTCCCACCACCAGTGTACAAATTTCCCTTTTTTTATTTTTTGAGAGGTTTTTGCTATAGGGCTTAAGCGCTTGCCAGACAGAGACAGAGAGACAGAAAGTGAGAAATCCCCCCCAGGGGAGGATAGCCACACCACAATCCCTTCTCCTCCCTTCTCCTCTCGAGATCTTGGGCACACATGCACACGTGCCCGGCGTGAGTTTTAAGCCACCGGGTCCAGGATGCGAACGGGTCGACTACATGGGAGTCCAGCGACATAGCCATTATGCTAACTGCTGGTCCCAACTTTCCCTTTTTTCAAAATCCTTGCCAACCCTTATCTTTTATCCTTTTATCAGCTATTTTAAGGTGTGAGAAGATACTTCATTGTGATTTGACTTGTGTTCTGTAATTAGTGATATTGAGCATTTTAAATGTATTGTAGCCATTTTTTATATCTTTTTTTTGAAAAATGTCTACTTGACTCTGTTACATGCTTTTAAATGGGGTTATTTTTCTTGCTACTAAGTGTTTCTAGTTCTTTATGTATTTTAGATGCTAACCTAATTTTATTCTTACTATATTTGTTTATAAAATATTTATCAAGTACTCCTTTTAAGGAAAACATGAGAAATAAACATAAAGGGTAGAGTTATCCAGTCCTTCTGGCACTGCATTTCATTGACCATCAAGAACATTTGATAAATCAAAGGAGCTGATCCTCTTCTACTTGACACTAGATTTTTCTTATAATTTGTAGAAATCTAGAAACATCAACTTACCAGGTTCTGAACATCACATTATTTGCATTTAAATTCACATCTATGCTTATCCTAATTACCTTCGTAAAATTATAACTGAATTCTAATAACAACACTATCACCAATCCCACAAAAATCTCTTGTGGAAAAAACAGTAACCATGCTCCATCAGGTGGAGAATTGTAAATAAAAGTTATGCTACCCTCTCTTTCCCACCCCTGCCAGTGAAATGCAATGCTCCACTGAAAAATTTTAGAATTTTGACTCAGATGAACATTTACCCTACCAATCACTTTCTGAGAAAGTGACTCCCATAAGATAAAAATCTTTCATAGCACCTTTGCCTCTTTCTCCATATATTCTAAACAGAATCTAAAGAAATCCCTTATTCAAACCTGCTACCCATGAGACTGCACAGTATTTCTTTTCCTCCTGTATCTGTCTCCTACCCACAATTCCTCTCTACTCTTTTCCTTATCTATTTTTTCAATTCAAACTATCCCTATCTCATCAAACTGCTTTCAGATAATCAATAACATATTTTAACTCCAAATCTGATAGTCTTTTCTATCTTAACCTTCCCTCCTCTTTTCCATATTTGGTTCCATTAAAACTTTGCAATCCTAACTCTTCTAGTTCTCCCACCTTTCCTATCGGCCTCTCCAATTTCGTCTTTTACTTCTTTCCCCTTCACCATCATCAGAGAATCTTATCCAAGTTTAATGCTGCCCTTATCTACACTCCTTTCTTTGAGTTATTCATCCATAATGGCTTCAATTATCAATTCTGTGCTATAACTTTCAAATTTATACTCCCAGTCCTACCCCATGATCTGAGAATTAGCCAAATATTTATATTCACATGTTTTTCCATCAATTTAGATTTAACCTGATCCAAATCCAAGATCATTTCTTCCTTACACTCTAACAGCCTGTGTCTGTAAGACAGTAATTCTCCCAAAAATCAACATACAAAAACTCAGTATCTTCTCTGAAATCTTCATCTCTCATCTCTTCATCTCTTGTGCTTTTTTTTCTTCTGTATATCTTTTATATGTATTTAGTCAACTCTGTAACAGTTTTTGTAATCAGACAAATATGAACTTAATTTCTGGCTCTGTTATTTGTTAAGTCAAAACTCTGGGCAAGTTTCAGTTTTCTAAAATGTAAAATGAGGGGAACCAGCAGTTAGCATAATGGCTATGTCGCTGGACTCTCACATAGTCGACCACGGTTCGCGTCCCAGACCTGGTGGCTTAAAACTCACACCGGGCGCGTGTATGTGTGTGCCCAAGATCCCGAGAGGAGAATGGAGGAGAAGGGATTGCGGCATGACCATCCCCCCTGGGGGGTGATTTCTCCCTTTCTGTCTCTCTGTCTCTCTCTCTCTGTCTGGCGAGCGCACGCGCACTATAGCTAAAACTTCTCCAAAAAAAAAAAAAAGAGTAAAATGTAAAATGAGAATTGT